TACATAGTGTTAGCATGAAGACATGAGCATTTCAGACTCCCCTCTGGTTCAGATAATCTATGCCAAATTCAACCTTTGTGTAAGTAGGAAAGACTCCAAACAAGTTATAGAGTCACTCTTTATTACTAGTATTAATGGAAATGAATTTGGCTCTCCTTGCATGTGCCATTTGGAATAGTTTATTTTTCACATGAGGTTTGGCAGGGATTTCTCCAAAATAATTTCCCCCCCAAACCTACCCCCAAAAGCCAGCCTGTAAATTTCAAAATCTCTCTGCTTAGTTCGAACAGCTCTTTAGAATACTCCCCAATCTGAAACCTTCATTATACAGAGATAAGTAGTGACCATAAAAGTTCTTGATAGGTAAGTTAATAAAATGTTTTACATACTCTCTTAATTAATATTTTAATAACATATACACAAATACTTCTGATCCATGGTTTTCAAAGCAGCTATACTCTAAGTAAGTTATTGTCTTTTTTTTTTTAAATTCAATGTTTTCTACTAAGAGTCTGTGGGCTCAGAAAGTCTGGAATTCACAGCAGTTTCTGCTATATGGTTTCACATAGTACATAAAATTGTCAGCTTCTCCCATTGCGCTAGAAGACAGGAATGTTATTATTCTAGAAGTTGGAATTTTGGTTTCTAACCATGGTCCAACACAAACGTCTGTGCATTTTGGGAACGTAACCTATCTGAAATGCAACATCCTGAACCTGGAATTAATTGATCATGAAAAGTACAAACAGCTCCTTATTCATCCTGAAGCAACCGTAGAACCCTTTGACACATTATGGAAAAATAATGCAGTTCTTAATGCTCCTTTTTTTGTTCTGGTTGATTTTTAGGCTTGGATCCCTGCCAGGCACACAATAAAGTACTTGGCCTTTAACACAGACAGGCATGATTCTTCTTTCATACTCTCAACTGGGAACTGACAAAACTCAGTACATTACAGATTTGTTTCAACCGAAATGTTCACAGCTAGTATCCAGAGACAGGTTTTCTTCTATCTTTAGGTTATTTATCAGCTTGCAAATCTGATCTGCAAATAAGAAAATGGCTTTTAGAACCACTTAACATAAGGTTCGGTACAGTGAAGTTGATGTGGTCACTAACAGGTGAAGAACCATTTGCAACATGGCTGGTGTTACACGCACTCCTTGAACGTACATTAAAAAAAGATAAAGTTTCAAGGATTTACTGCCACCCTGAAGGAAAGAATTGATGTTTTAAGTAACTGGATTTGTAGAAAGTCTGTAAGACAATCCAAGTAAATCCTCAAATAGATTATTAATACCTCATTATTTAAATGCCCCTAAATACAAGTGCAGATGCTAACTTCATGGCTTTGTCTTGACAGCTCCTCCTCTATTTCTCATGATCTGTTATTAGTCTGTGACTCTAAAGCCCTGAAAAAGAGTGCCCCGTGAAAAAGTCCTCCAACTCCTAGGGAGACAAGTTCTTGCAGCTTATTGCTTACATAGTTCTCTCAGGTTCTGACTGATACTGCCGTATATGAGAATACTACATAAACATGCCTCTTTCTGTAGAGCCGGATTAGGTTTGTACAGGATATCTTCGTGAGCGCTTTTACTGTCTGATGTCCCACTAAGACATGAGTATGTATGCACATGCCTAAACTCTGTCTTGTGCTGATACTTCCCAATACACCCTAGCCGTCAGAAAATTTTAAGGTAATCTCACGTTACACTGACAACAACATTCATTTTCCTAGACGATATTTATACTTATCATCAGCCTGTCCTTCGGTTAACTAGCTGAGGTTTACTTTAAGCCTTGTGATCCACCCTATAGAATTTGGCTTATCATTTATCAGTTATAAACCTGAAAGGGGGGATGGCAGGGGCGGGGAGGAGTCCAAAGGATGCAAAACTCAACAACAAACCAAAGCACAAAGGAACTGGAAAAGAATTTCAAAGGATCTGGCTCTATAGCACAGACAGTGCTATATACATGTGTCTGTTTATGGAGACACACTAAACTGAATTATTCAGTTACTTACAAAAAGAAAAAGAACAGACTGTGGGGAAGGGAGAGCAGAATGAAGGCGCAAGAGAGCAAAAAATTCATCCAGCAACAGATGAGAAGAACAGAGGAGAATTGGAAAATGGATGTGGGGGGAGGAATGGATGATGAGAGAATAGCAGGCCTATTTAAAATGAATTTTTGACCTTATTTTTAAAACATTTATGGATCCCAATTGCCTGTCATGAGATCATTTTCCCTTACAATGCTAGCTTTTCAGCCGGCTCTGCACTTTAACTTGATTTATCCCACTTTAAAAAAAGTAGACTGTTAGAAATACCCCTTCTATTAGAAATTCTGTCCCATTACAGTGTCAGCTAAAGGCCACTTGTCAATGTCAGCTTTATCAGATAGAAATTTGCCTCATGAGTTCTCAGATACTTTTTTGGAGGACAAGACCCGGGGTCCATTTCTGAGGCTGTTGATTTGCGACGGGATAGTGTCTTCTCAAATTATCCTCTGTTATTTCCCAACTTATCTGCATGTTTCATGAGATGGTGGGAAGTGATTACAGAAGCTGCTGTACATTAGAAAGACATCTTATAGGAAAGTTGGCTTAGGTAAAACAGCTGACTGACAAAAGCATAGAAAGAACCAATCGAGTATTAAAAATACATAGGGAGACCCAGCATCTCCTTTCCAGCTGCAGCTTCCCTGGTGCCATAACCGTCCTGTGGGAAGAAAACTTACACCAGAAAGTTTTCCTCCTCCTCAGCTGTCTGTTGACTCTTTAAAGAAAGACCTGACATGCTGAAGATTAGAGTAACTTTTTATTTATTTACAATTATGCAATTAGTCATCAGCATGTCTCTTCACTGATGAGTAAAGGTGGAAAAAATCAGCTGTTGTTCAATCTGTGTTACCACAGTACTGCTGAGGGTCAGCAGCCCAAGGTGGGAAAGACTACATTGCTTATAAAGTATCCCGAGGACTCTCCTGGCAAGATGCTTTGAGACATTTGTTTTCTTTTTAATATTTTGATTCTTCTTTTCTGTCTGAACGGATTGATGTAACTTATGTATTTTAAGGGCAAAACTACATGTCAGAGTAGAAATTTCAGCCAGGAGCCAAAAGAGAGCAAGCTGGGGCCATAGTATTTTCCAGACTGAAAGACAGTGCCTACGAAAGGAAGGCTGGATGGATCAATGGATGATACTGTTGCAGTGAAGAGACCAGAAGTCTTTGAAATTTGTAAACCATTTCAACAAGGGGAACTGTTGCAGCAACAAACTTCAGAGTATTAAAGCCCTCAAGGTAAACTCTGATTTTTGAGCAGACTGCCATTCCCCACAACAAAAACATTTAAAAATATTCTGCGTTGGAAGAACAAAAAGAAACAATCCTGGTGCCACTATTATTAATCAGTTCAAGATTGAGATACTTAAAGCTCCCTTTCAGGTGCTCTGATTAAGGACAACTTGCCTCACAGGAAAAGCAAAGCTTTGGAAATCAGTAATCTCTGGGCATTATACCTAATAGGAAAGGCTTAAAAAAGGATTACCTAGAAGAAACCTTTGTGAATCTCAGGAAGCTACACTGGACCATAAATCTCAACCTCCTCTGATGATTAATAAAGCTTTATCAGTTTCAGATAAGAAGTAGAAATCATCAGGATGCTGAAAAGGTACCACTGGCCCAGTCTGGGGCCTCTGTCAGGAGTCTTAACATGCCATACAATTTCAACAGAAAGACATGTTTGATGCATATTCTCATTTTAGTTTACAAAAGCTATTCAGAAGAAGAATGGCAGCTACATAGATTGCCAAATTTGGGTCACAAAATTTAAGGCAGTAGATTAAAGTTAACTGCTGCTCTAAGGAAAGAATTATTTTGCTGAAGGTGACACTTTTGGTAACTGAAACAGAATAATATATACAACAACTTTTTTTGGGTTAATGAACAAATATATATGATAATTTATGTAAAAACACCCCTTTTAACTCTATCTCTCTGTGATTGCAATAAAGTCTAGTCTCGCATAGGATTTTTTTGGACTACAACCCCAATCATTGAAGATTTCACTTCAGCATTCACACTTATAGTTTGAAGGACATTAAAACCAACAATGTTAGTTCAAACTTCAGGTGTATTTAGATTCTTAAGATTTTAACATAATTCTGTCTCTTTTTAAACTAAAATTTCAAATTTAGCATAAATTGCATCTTATCAAAGTTACATTTTTGAATGCTGGTTGATTATAATTACTTCTAAAGAGACAGAGTCCAACTCTGAAACCTGCTCAGGTGGAGCTCTTGAATGCCACAGTTGTGATCCCATAGACTATAGCTGTTGCATTTATTTAATGCATTCAAAAATCTGGCACTCGATTTAATCTCTGGTTCTACCATAGGTTACTCTTCAGTAGTGGGGTAGATAATACGCCTGTGTAGCGTGACTCCTAGATGTAAAATAGGGAACACAGCATGTCTGTAACAGTTCTATAGTGTTGGTAGAATATTTTAAGATCCTTTGACGGGCGAGGAGCAAATTATTTCATTTTTCACTTTATAAAAGTTACTGAGGATGTATCGTGGCCAGATTGCTACTGTCCAGTGTGCAGAAGGAAAGGCAGGAGCAGACATGCGTCTATTTCCTCCCTCTCATTTTGCAGCTAAGCACAGTGAGAGTCTGCTCTTCTAATGCTCTCGTTAACCCAGGGAATCACTGGATGAACTTCCAGAGTACCATAAATCCTGGACTGCGTATCTTGGGCCTAAAGAGAGGAAACCTGGACCTAAATCAAACACAGTGAAGAGACAAGTTATTTTTAGCCAAGTTTTCATGTTATTAATGTTTTCTTTGGTGGGCTGGCATTAAAGATTTCTCCCCTTCTACAAACCCCCCAAATTCATGTTAAGCTGACACAGGATTTCTGCAAAACACAAAAAAATCAGCACCTTCTGCTAACCCTGAACGCTACAAAAGCACTTTGCATCACATTGTGGACCTACCCAACGCTGGTCGTAATCAGATGGCTGTGCTCTTCCTTCGTCATCCTCATAGAAAGGTAAGCCTTCTCGCCTGGCCTGATGGTACTCCTTCCGTAACTTCTGGATACGATCAGCATTCCCACCGCTTGTGCAGCCACTGAGAAAAAGAAAAAATGCTAAATAAAACTTATATGTGCACACATATCTAACACTTACCAGGTACCCACATAAGCATACACACAGAATTGCCACAGCTGAGACAAATGGATTATGAACATTTGATTCTCCTGACTTGCATAGTGCCCACTGGCCCATATCACCCTTATTTTTGCTTTCTTATATTAATAAAGCTGCTAATTGTGAACTTGATCCCCACTTTTAAAAAAGATTGTCCCTGTCCAAAGAACTTAACAATTCCAGTACAAGACAAGAGACAACAGATGGATGCAGACAAATGGGGGAGCACAAGGAAACTTTTAACATTCCTATGAGCAGCTATAAATGGCTATCATATTTTAATAATGATGATGATGATGATGATAAGCTGCCAGAAAAATGTTTCCTTTTGCTCCCACGCTAAATGTGGAATTTCCCTAAAATTACATTTGTTCAAGGTAAAGAATACACTATATTCACAAAGAAGCATAGAAAGAAGTTTTATCTCATAAAAAAAACCCCTCCCTCCCAATTATACAAAGAACTAAAACATCAGCCATGACAATACAGGGGAGGCAAGAGAGATGGGAAAGTGCACTATTAAATCTTGACACCATTTTTTTTAAAGTAGTAATTAAACAGTAATCCACTTAGTAATCCACAAAGACTCACTTGTATGCTGAATTGCATACACTGCAAACTGCCATGGTAAAGCTAGTGGAGTTGCTTAGTTTGTCAAGTTAAACACATGCCTGTCTTTGTGGATTTTGACCCTGGTGAGCCTTCCAGAACCTTACAGCTGGACTTGTACAACTGTGGAAGCTCAAGTTATACCAGGAAGGATTAAAAAAATAAAATCCTGAAAATGCCTAAGATTCAAAAAAATAGAGCCACATTGAAAATGAATAAATTAAAAGTTTCCCACAGCTATTTCCAGCGCTGCTCTAGTCAGCACTGGGGTGAATACTGACTGTATGGCTCAGTAGCATTTACTGGCATTCACAGGGAATTGTCGCAGAATTTATTTGTGGCTGCTCCTAAACTCAGACCATTGTTACTGCAGCACATCATCATATATTCTCTTAATCTGCAACCTTAACTCTGCCTCACCAACAATGGGCTATAGAGATACAGATTTATTCACATGAGCACAGACTCTGTGGAGCATCTTGTCACACTGCACTTCCCTATGAGTATGCCAGAATCTAGGGAAGCCTTTTATAGGATTTGCACAGCAAACTGAATTTGGAAAGCACACACAAAAGATAGAACATAAACCAATGTAAGTTCAATAATAAGTAGTTTCTAGTACCTAATAGCAATCTAGGTGGGTTGGGAATTAATTACCAATGAAGGGAAACTCCACGTAGGGTGAAAATGCAACTGAATAGGCAGCCAGGATTGGAAATGTTTACTTGCAGCATCAGTACGTTTCCATGAAAAATCAAACACTTAAATTACTTGCCTTCCCTGGATCCTAAGTTATCCAGCTCCTCTACTCTACAAAGTCCCAGCGGTTTCAAGCTTCTCTGGCTGACTTACTGAACTCTTTCAGAGCGTACAAAATTTTTCTCATGATCTGCCAAGACAGTGCAGAAAGCTCGTACAAACTCTGTGGACTATTGAGAAGAAAAAAAAAAAGTACATTCCCTTTTCCCCTTGACTCCTTCCACAGATAAGTGCCTCTGTTCCTTGCATGAATTCTTGTCAAATAGTGGAGAACCATTTCCAGTTTGCAAAACATTGGAATTGAGGACTAGCTAATGGGGGCTATCACTTAGAACAGTGAAGCTTGGTCCACAGCTCCTGAGCAATACAAACCTCTGAAATCCCCTGACTTTACTTGTGAGTACAGATAAAGCATTTAATTAGGGCTGCTAACATACAGATAAGGCCCAAAGTGTTGTCCCTGTTGCTTTGCCAACATCATTACCCAAAGCAGCACTAGCTAAGAGAGGGAAATGCTGAAATACAGGTCTAGTTTGATTCCAGCAGATCTGGCTCCCTGCAGCTCTCTGAAAACTGTATGAGCACCTGCCACTAGTGGCCTAATGGCCACATACCCACTTTATACCTCCAGGTATTTTGGCTGAAGAGGTAATCTGAAAATACCATACAGTTTTTTTTTCCTTTTTTAAATGAAATCTGAGATTTATATCGTAAGAGGCAGTAACAGCAGCCTGTGCTCCATTTACTGCAGACCTCCTGTAGGTGAACTTCCTTCTGCTTAAACCCATCTAGCCTGCAAGTAGAAGTAGGTGCTGCAGAGATCAAGCTGATTATATATATTAAAAGATTGGACCTGACAGCTTTTTCTTTGGCAAACCTCTGCCACGCCGTATTGAAGTACAAACCCTAACCATGAGAATGAGTAGGAACATTTGAATGAAAGATAGCAGCACATGGAAAGTTATCCATCTGGATTAGTGTGAAAACACAAGCATAATCTCTGTGGAAATAAGCAGCTCCGTGAAGTCTCATTTCCTGTGCTTCTCTCTTGTGGGTTCTCTGGTGTCCGATAATGGGACTGAGTTCACACTGCAGCGTTTCTCCCCAGCAAGGGCATTTGTCTGGGCCTCTCTAGCAGGCTGCTTATTTTCATGGAACTTAGTGATCTTTTGAACATTGAATCGCCTGTCAAGTCTGGTCAAAAATGGCCAGCAGGTTCAGAATTTGTTATAAAGGTGGCAGGGACAGGTTGGAGGAGGGTCGGTCAGTACATCAGCTTCATTTTTTCATGAAACAGTTGAAGCTCCATAGCTGGTTTTTTTTTTCTCCCTCCATCACTGTTCATAGGCACAAGTGTAAAAGACACTGGCTTTTGAAAGAGCTGCATATCTAGCTTACCATGAAAGTTTTACCGGCTCCTGAGTACTGTGAGATGAATATGATGCCCTGTGCAATGCTCATGAAACAGTTCTGAATTTAAAGTTGGCTCCTGACAATTATGTGAATATATGAACCACATTCAAACTCACCAGATGAATTCAATCAGCACTGTGCAAATATCGCATACATAATCTATTAGTTTACCCCAAAGAAACTGAGGCATTGAATTCAAACAGAATGAAGTCATCAGTAATAAAAAAAAGAAACTGATAAGGCAATATTAAAAAAAAAACCACAATTTCCCAAGATTTGCAGAGAAGATCATACATTGATTGTAAACTATTCTCCCATCTGCCTATAAATACATAATTAAAAAATACTGGTTTGATCAGATAGCAGTTTTCAGACAGGGAAACAGCAGATGAATACCAGTTCAAATGTTTTGGATGTATGACTATTTATACTGAAAAGGAACCTGAACTTACAGAAGAAATATAAAAACAATACTCCAATCAAAGTCAATTTATATTAAGGAGACTTACTGAAGCTTTTCACCAAGCCTAGTAAGTACAGCAGACAGATTTCTTTTACAGTAGCTTTACGTTTAATGTAGTGCTCCCTCCTTGAGGACATATAAATATTACAGTCCTCATCACATCTACAATTTTGTGCAGAATTCACTTCCTTGACATGGCTCCCTGCACTACACGTTCTTCAGAGAACTGTGCAACCGCACATTAGCCATTTTCCTCCACCACCATGTGTTCCTAGGCTCTAACATTTAATCTACCCATGCACTTCTCCGTTGTCACACCAAGACTGTAAGACAACCATCCACTCTGCGTTTTGCGACTGATTTCAGAATGATTTCCTAAAATTGTGCTACATGTAAGGAGACTGATTCAGAAGCAGCTGATACTGGGATAGAACTTGAACTTTTTTTGGGAAGTTTTAAATAACATTTTGGTGGGGGGAAAATCTCTGAGAAACTTTACAAAGAGTTTAGTGAAGACTCAGATGCTGATCTCAAACAGCAGTAACAAAACCTGTCCAAAATCCCAGGCCACAGACAATCTTAAGAGAAGTTCAACAGTTCTTCGACTAAGCTGCACACACTGCAAGGATTTTTTTGGGAAACAGAAAAAAAGAATAATAAATAATCTTATATGAACATTCACAAGAGCAAAAAGCACATTCCTGTCAGCCATTCTGTAGTTTTGCTAGATACAATCCTTACAAACCAAAGCTTTCTTCTGGCCTGGGAGAAAGAAAAAAAATAGTCTGCACGACTGTTCTAACCCATGCTGCTGGGCTGCTGAGGCTGTACCACCAACTAGATAAACAACCGCCAGAAATCACCATCTTCTGCACTGTGCCTGAATCTGTCAGAGGTGCTATACAGGTTCCACCTTGCCCACTGCGACTGTAAAGGGACCTGCTACGAAACAGCCACTCAACTGATACGGCTAGAATAGGCATCCCAAAACAAAAAGAAAACCATAATTTGGCACAGACTTAGCTTCAAGCTATCTCTAACATTATGTAAAATATGACTGTGAAATTTCATCCCATCATCTCTGAAGAGATAGATGAACAAGCACCATAGCAATAACATTATATACCCAATATGATAGACAAGTTATTTTTTTCAAAGAATCAAAACATCATCATCAGTATTTAATACATATGGCTCAGGTTTTGCACAATAAAATCTCCCCTCTGTTTTTCCTCTGAGTTGCTAATCTGGTTTTCAATCATTCAGGTTAAAAATGTCATTTTTTATATTAGTGACTTCTTACTACAGCTCTCTAGATAATACAAAATTAAAAACAAGTGTTGCACGTACAGAGTAAGATGAACCACTTAAAACTGTATATAAACATATGTTTAAAGAGGCAATAAACATTTTGTTTCCAGTGGTTTTCCTAAACACATTAATATTGCACAGGGCTTTTTTGCCAGCCACTTCTTTCAAACCCTGATTTCACCCAGCTGACTGTCAGCCTCTAAACAAACAAGTGGTGCTTCCAAGTTAAAAAAAAAGAAAAAGAAAAATGATTCTTTTAGTGAATTTTCCATTAACAAACAAATCCAAGACAAAATGTGATTCACAGACTCAAGAGAATGGACAATCTTCCATTCACAATCTACTATAAAACAAAACTAATTTTA